AATTGGCACAGGACAGAGCGGAGTTTAGGGCTGTTGTACATAGGGTCGCTATGAGTCGCAGGCGACTCGACGGCACATAACAACAACAACAATATTATTGGGGTTTCCCAGAAATATATACTTTTTTCCCCCTTAATATTGTTTTAGGTCCCAGAGCATCAGCAACCAGAGTGTGAGAAACTTTGGCCGGTCACTCTTGGCAGGTTATTGCCCCACGTACATGCCTGATCTGGTGCTCCATGGAACCAGCAACGATGAGAAGCTGAAGCAGTGCCTGATGGCAGATCTAATCCATACTGTACATGTAAGTGACCCAGCATGAAGCCTCTGGCCGCCAACAGTGTGTCAGTGACATGTGGACCCCTCACAATGACCTAGACCAAAGAGAGTGTCATAAAGAGATTGTTTATGAAAGTGTGGACAGGTCTGGCGAACAGCAAAGGCTGGTGAAGCGCCCGGGGACTAGCAGTTCTAGGAAGATTTTTCCGCACCTAGAAAGGTAAGCAGAAGGGACAGTGATGCTGGAGCCCTGGAGGGTACCTAGCTGCAAAAGGGATGAGGGTGAGAAGATAACTACCTGCCATCTCTCACCTCTTGTCTTCTGATCTCTTCTGGTGCTTTCCATTGCCTGAGCCCAGCTGGAAGCTAGACAGGAAGGCCACAGCTGGTGCAGATACAGTTCTGTCGTTTGTGGAGGTCAGCCTCCTGGGGCACAGAAAGGACAGAGAAGGGCAGAGAGGATCTGTGAGTTTGGGGATGGGGGTAAACAGGGCAAAGAGAATAAAAAGTACAGATGGGGGCAATTACATACCGTCATGGAGAGGACCGAAGAGATGTCACATAAGGTTTTCTTTTTATTTGATCCTTACACGTTCCTAAAAGTAATTTATTTTAACTGATTTGTCTTTAAGTTCACTTTGATGGCTGCATGAGGATGACTGTATAAAGATTAACAAGGCTTGCTGGAAAATTGCTTTGTGGATGTCATTAAGTGCTTTTCTGCTATCTAAAGTGTGACAGGAACCGAGCAGTTGAGGAAACTGCAAATCGGATGGACCTGTTTTTAATTGAACTGCTGTTGGGGCAGATGTGCAAAAAATACTTATTTTTGCATTGAAAACATAGCATATCTTGTGCTACACGGAAAGTCTTTAGGCCATTAAGAAATTTGGAATTTGCCTTTTTATCTCCATCTTCACCCAGTGAATGTTGTGTCTCCTTTGCAACGTGGGACAAAGGCATTACATATTTTCTTTGGTCTTGAATGTCTTTTCTGTGAAGACTTAAACACACATCAGACCCATTTAAACATGCTAAAGATGTTTGTGTGAAGTGAGGGAGAAAAGCTTGCCCTCCTTCCTTCATCTCCATCCCAGAGGACAAGGAGCAGAGAGACAGAGAGAGAGACATGGGGGAAGGTGGCCTGAAGCCAGAAAGGCCAGCACAATGGACATGTTTGCACTAGAACATTCTTAACCCCACCCTTCTTTCTGGTTAGACATCACCACTCACCAAGTTATCTCTCAAATGTAGCTATGAAGTTGTTTCTGTTTCTATAAGGAAGTTTATAATAGCTTCTTGTCATATTTGTGATGAGCACTGTGTACTTCCAGAAGCCTGTACATCAGTGATCCTCAAATAAGAGAGGTGGTTTTCCCAAGTATATGCTCCTTGGGTAACTTTATAAATGTAATTGTTTTCATCTAGTAGCCTTCTGTACTGTTGGAGTTAGGAGACCTCATTTCCTGCTCAGTTTCCTTGTTCTGTTGCCATCCACAAGTGTAAAACCTGTGAGGGACTTCTTTCTCCTGTGCTGTCAGTTTGACTTACAAGACTAGTGTTGTTATTGTCCAGTGTTCTGCTGCTGAGGAAGCACCAGGACACTGTGAGCTGTCAGGATGGTCCTCAGTGATAGCAGCTTTACAGATGTGAGCTCCAGCTGCATGGGAAAGGTTTTCATTTTTAATCTCAGAAGGCAGAAAGGGGCAGGAAAAATGGAATTGGGGAACTCAAGGAGGAAATGGGAAGAATGTGGTTACATTAAGGGGATTGCAGTTAATGTGTTGAAACAAAATGTGTATATTGTTGAATGGAATTCTAACTTGCTATGTAATCTTTGACCCAAACTATAATAAAAAGTTATGTTTTATTTTCCATATTTTTTTGCATATTAGATTTTTTATAGCAACCCTGCGATTCCATAATTCTTATACTTGAAAAAAAACCAAAACCGTGTTTACGATATTCCTGAAGATTGTCCATGTTTCATTTTCATTCCTTTCAAAAGTAGTGTTTTCACACCATAGCTTTCTCATTTTGTCTTCCACACTGCAGATCTCCCTAAGAGATCAAAAGTTATTAAGCATAATAACCTATATTGTGTCAAATTGTGAATATATCCATAGTGCAGCCACGCATGGAGATTAATAGGAAATTGTGAAGGGTTCATAAAGATATCTTCAGAAGTTTAATATATTCAGAATGTACCCAATTACCATTAGCTAATTTCTAATTTCACTTGACACATTCATTATAATGAATCTTGCTTTTGAAGTCGTGTTCCATTTAAACTGCCTTCCAGACTGGGCCTGTGATATACAGGGCAGTGTGTTTTATTTTTTAAAAAGTAGCTTGACTTTCATCTTTCACTTACAAATATTGGTTGAAAAATAAATAGGGAATTTCTTAAGACTTTATATTGAGTTTACTGCCCTATAAAACCTAATCTTTACTCAAATTCTTATGACTGTTGCCAGAAAAAGAAATAAAAACTAGTATGTGACTAAAGTTAGAGCTGCAAAGATAGCTTGTAAAGGAAAAAGCATTTAGCATGAATTTCTTTTTTCATTACTGTCTTCTAAAACTTAATTTTTAAACATTATCTTCAGTAGTCCTGCTGAACTTGATTAGACTTTGATTTGAGAGGAATATGTAAAGCATATTGAAAACAGTTTATTTAGGTTATCAATATATTTTCTAGACTTATTCAGAATTGAAAGGTATGCTTCAGGGTTGTATCTTTTCTCCATAGCTATTCAGTCTCTATACTGAGGGAGTTATTTGAGAAGCTGGACTATGTAGAAAAAATGTGGCGTCTGGATAGAAGGAAGACTCAGCCTTCATGCAGATGACAGAACTCTTTTTGCTGAAAGAGGGCTTGAAAGAAACACTTGCTACAGAAGATCAGAGACTACAGTCTTCAATATAGATTACATCTCAACATCAGGAAAACAAATTCCTCACTACTTGACCAATAAGCAACACCACATAAATGGAGAAAAGATTGAACTTGTCAACTATTTCATTTTACTTAGAGGAACAATCAACACCCATAGTAAAAGCAGTAAGAAAAACAAAAAGGTGCATTGCCTTGGGAAAATCAGCTACCAAGAATTTCTTTAAAGTGCTGAAGAGTAAGGATATCAGTTTATAGACTAAGGTGTGCCTGACCCAAGCCATGATATTTTCAGTTGCTTCTTATGGGTCTGAATGTTAAACAGTGAATAAGACAGACTGAAGAAGAATCAATGCTTTTGAATTCTGGAGTTGGCAGAGAGTATTGAAAACTATGTACAGTAAGAAGAACAAACAGAATTCTGTCTGTGGGAAGTGTGGTTAAGGTGGTTCTTAAAGGCAAGGAGAGTGAGATTTTGTCTCGCATACTTTGGGCATATTATTAGGAGAGATCAGACCTTGGAAAACGACATTATGCTTGGAAAAATAGAGAGTCGGCAAAAGAAGAAAGACTCTCAGTGGGATGAACTGATGCAATGATCACAACAGTAGATGTTAGCACTGCAGAGATTGTGAGAATGGCCTAGAATCAGGCAGGGTTTTCATTTGTTGTTTACAAGGTTACTATGAGTTGTAATCAACTTGATAGCGCCTCGTAATAACAAAAATAATGCTGGATTGAAGGAGCTCTGATGGCAAAGCAGTTAAGCACTCAGCAGCTGACTGAAAAGTCAGCAGTTCAAACCCCTGCGCCTCTGAGGAAGAAAGATGTGGCACTCTCCTCCTGTAGAGATTACAGCCTGGGAAACACTGGGCAATTCTGTGACCTGTGGGGTCACTGTGGGTTGGAATTGACTCATCAGGAGTGAGTAGGTGGTAAAGTATGCAGCATTGGGTTGTTTGGTTTGCCTTGTAGGATTGCATTTTCAAATCGGTTTTATATGAACAGGCACTTTTACAACCACAGTGACTAGTTTGTAGAACTCCTTTGTAGAATTTCATTCTCAAGCTTTCAAGATTGAAAACGTATTCTTTTGTACTTTTTTTTAGTTTATGAAGGAAAGATATGTTAACTTTATTATTGGCTTTCACATGTTCAGATTCTTGTGTTCTTGAAATATTTGAACATATGTTCTTGTTTAATCCTATATTACTACTTTTCTGTCACTCATTCTTTGAACTGTCTCTCTGCCTCCTAGACTATAGATTATACAGCTGCTTTTGATTAGTGTAGGCAAGGTAATATTTAGCTTCATTCCCCCCTACCCCGCTACATCTGAATGTGTGTTCTTTCCACTGTTTTACTATTACTTCAAATAGAAAGAAAGAGAACCAGCAGCGTTCTGTGCTTGTGCCCCTCAAATAGCTTCTCTCTGCTTTTCCCCCTCCTGCACCATTGTCTGCCTGTCAGGATTGCTGACATGTACGATGTGAAGATCTTGAATGATGGGATAAGACGGTGAGGCAGAAGAACATGGACTTAGTATTGATGGTTTGAGTTCAAGTCCTGGTACTAAAGACAGACTGACAGGCTTAGGTAAATTAATTGGCATAACCAAACCTCAGGAGAGTCCATTCAGAGGAGGAGACAAACTCTTAGTCCATGTTGTTAGGAGTTTGACTCATGAAGGCAGACAAACTTGGGTTTGGATCATGGGTCACTCATTAGTGACATTATATCTTTGAGAAGGTCTCTTTAGTTTTGTCAGCATCCATTTCGTCTTTTATGGAAGATAATAACAGTCCTTTTACCGTGAATTTGGTTTGATGAATTCTGTCAGATAATGTGCATTAACACAGTGCCTGGCACACACTAAATGTCGTAAATGTTAGCTATTAAAATAATGTATGTGAAAGTGCTTTGTAAACTCTAAAGCAGCGAAAACATGCTTTTAAAATGAAAAGCAGAATGACAACCATTAATTTAGCAAAAAATGAAAATTACTATGAAAGTTTAGAAAGCTGTATGCAAATGTGCATCAAATCCATCTAAATAGTTATGCCCTTGTCACTCCCAGAACACTCTTGATTGGAGGTGACTAGGCAAGGTGAACCCACATCCTCTTAGCA